AATGTGGAGCGATCGCACAGAGTAATGATAGCCAATGTGCGCTTTATTGATGACACTAGGCATGTTCATTAGCATGCGTATCCCTGATAGATAGAGTGAGCTGGGCTACGGTTTCTTATTGTCGTCATCCTCCTCGAGTTAAATACCTCTCTCGCATGTCTGTACTTGATCTGAGTCGCGGGTTCTGTGCAGAGAAAACTTTCCTCCTCTTGCTCTTCACATCTCGTCTACTCTCTACTGAGGAGCTGGGCGTTATGTTGTCATAACGAGATGTCTGATACTGAACGTAATCGTCCGCAAGACACATTCGGACTTCATCTAGCGAATGCGCGATCACTTATATGCACCGTGTTCTTAAGTCACCGAGAGTACGTTGAAGTTTATCGTTAAAGATCCTTGCCGAGCAGCGCCGTTGTCTGAAAGTTTAACAACGGTGTTCATCATGAGACGGTTGGGACGGTACGATATCCCGTACTAAGAAGTGAAATACAGCAGTCATTAAAGTGAATAGGATCCGGAGCGATATCCCTGCAGCGTTGAAGCTAACACGAGTTTGCAGAAGAGTGTCGGAGTTAATCCCATAGATGTAGCTAAATCATAGTTTAATACCATTCTTCTGATAAATGTGGCGCACTCGAAGGGGACGGTTTAACACAATACCACATCGGTACATCTCTCTGACGGTCAATGATGTGCGTATGAGGGCTGGCTTAATCGAAGCATGAACGTGCAAATGCACGAACGTCTACAGCCACTGGTTAGGAACCGTGAAATATATTAAAAACACTAATAGGCTCTAGGTATTAGATGCTTTCAACAACCCGTACCGCCCCCGGGTAAAACAATAAAAAAATTTAGAGTTCAAGAATAACAGTGAATTAAATATCTTAAAAAAAAAAAAAAAAAAAAACGACTAGCTCTACCGGGTAAAGATGCTTTCACCGTAACCCTCCCACCCCACCGGGTAAACAATGAAAATTTAGAGTTCAAGAATAACAGTGAATTAAATATCTTAAAAAACTCCGAGCTCTAAGTACTACGATGCTTTCACCGTACCCCGGGTAAAACAATGAAAAACTTTGAGTTAACGAATTATCTACTATTGTGAGGGAGACATTACGGTCACGCCGCTAGACAGGTAAAACGTGGCGACGAAATTTAAAACTATAGAGAAAATTTATTGCGATTTGAGCGAGGACAGCGAAACTCGTTATGAAAGCATGACCAAGTTGCTAGATATGAAATATGACGTATAAATCCCGTGAACATTTGGAGTACTTTTAATACAGGCAGTGCACATAGATCATGTTCCAAATAAGTTATAATATAATATGATATATATATAATATATAATATATATATATATATATATATATATATATAAATATTATATATTTATACATTGCTTACGCACAGCCCCTATCGTTTGCAGGGGCTGAAACGCTACCGACGCCTGTATCACGGCTTGTACAGCTGGTGAAGGAGGAGGATACCGGGGAGGTGACGGTGACATGTGGACACAGCTGACCGCTGTTCTCACGCCCAAGGTCAAATACTGTCGGCCCGGTAGACACGGCAGGAACCGACTAACCGGTCACCGTTTACATGGGAGGTGAGAGTTATATGGCTTGTTAGTATATGATGTAGAAATGTAGGGGCAGCGCCAAGTCCAAGAGGTAGGATTATGGTTTGGGTTCAGTGTCTACAGCGGTAAGTTTGGGTTATAACCATTAAGACTAAGGCCTGGCTAAAGCTCTCCATGACTCTTACTTCAAGCCGCAACCCAAGTACCGACAATAACCGTAAGCCCCCAAACCTGATTCTAACGCCTAACCTTAATGCCTAATTCTGACCCCAACCGTAACACGGAACGCCTACACCCTAACGCTAAGACAAACGAGTTCTAAAACTCCACGTTGAGAGATGTGTGAGCGCTATTACGAGCACACTTTCTGCGCGCTCGTCACGCCCCCGTCTTCGTGTCTCGATGGCGCGAGGCCTTTCCGCGGCAGTCCGCCGGTTTGTTTTCTGGGATCGGACCAACGTCGCACGTACATCGGCTGCATGTCGGACATGACAGTTCCAAGGACGACGCCTCTAAAGCCGGACGGTCATACGACATGCTGCAGGACGGATGCCGTCAACCAAATGCGACGTTCGCCCAACAGGTGACGTCATCGTGAACTCTTATTTTTTTCATAATCGTTGATAGGAATACGTATATATCCCTATGATACACATCCGCTCAGGGTGTGTAGGTATTTGTTCTGATACAGGACCCATTATGCGACAGCTGCGTACTCTGTATTTGCATTAATTTTTTCGCTGTAATTTAATCGTCTCCCAAATATTCAATTATTTTATCTATCGCCATGAAGTGTTGATTCGCATTCTGGGATGCATTGCGTGAACTCGTGTTTAACTCGATGGCCCTTCGGTCATGCTTGGTACTCGCGGTCGACTCCCATGCTCTTTGCGCTTAAATCGTGCAAACAGTGTT